CGCTTCAGTTTGGTAAAGATACTCTTGGAAAAGACCTAAGCTGGAAGCAGAAACATCAGGAGAATGATGATTTGGTTGTTATTGATCCGCGGCAGAAGGAGAAAGAGATTACTGGTGCCGGGGGGAGAAAGAGAGAGCGTGAAAGAAAGAGAAAGCTTGAAACGGGACACGATAGAGAATGGGATCGAAGAGATGTTAAGAAGGCTGGGAATAGTCGCTCATGACTGGTTTGTATGAGTAAAGATATTAATTGAATATAACCAACACTATTGAGGTGTTTTGATACTGCATTTACAATTGGCAGAGGGAAAACATACTGATCTGTACTTCTCCTTCCTAGTAGGCAGGGGCAGGGACAATAGAGTGAGTAGATGTAGATGATAGATCAAAATGAGTAAATTATACACCATTTCAAAAACCAGGTCGGGAAGGGGGAAAAGAACGCCCCCAGCAACATTAAACACGGGTTCGATCAGAAACCAGACGAGACAAAAAGCAAACAAAACGTAGATAAGAACACAGACTTTGATATGCAAATGCAAGACAAAAGACAGGACTTGAAAAGAAAAAAAGGAACTTGATAGGAAACGAACTATCACATAATATACCTTTTCCCCCGGTTTGATAAAAGAAAAGAAAATAGGACGGCGAAGAACAATCAATCCTTCGGATACCACAAACTAAACCAAACCAAACCATTAGGGCCAGGACAGAAAGCCAGATAAGGTAATGGGGGACGGGAGTAGAGAGATGAGATGAAACAGAAAATCGGGAAATAGTTTATGATTTTTTTTAAGAAAAGAAATGGAGAAGGGAAAAAAAGCAAACAAAAAAAAATGAAAACGAAAATGAAGAGGAAAGAGGCAGAAGAGAGACGTGTATAAAAAATCATTAAAGAAGCCGACTTTGAGGAACGGGGGAAAACAACAACCTCGATTGGCCAGACCTTACGGAGACAGGTCCTCGGAAACAAGATCAGCAGCGGAAAGAACGCAAGGGAAGAGAGTAACCTTAAAGCAAGGGGTTAGGGGGATGAAGGGAAACAAAGCAACAAGCTAATCTCCGTCTTTCGGTAGAACGGTAAGTAGCATGGAGTTGCTGCGTCGCGATGTAGTTGGCAGTAAATCATGGCAAAACAGGATAAATGGCAAGATAACAGATAGGGGAATGCAATCACCATGGCACGTTAATAGTTTCTCCGTTCAACGAAAACGTTCCCCTTCTGAGGCTCATTATTCGAACTTGGATTCGAAATTGAACTTCACTCCCCTTCTCTTCCTCACTTCATACTCACGGACACGCAAAAAAAAATGAACTTCCAACGCAAGAAAATGACAAGCGCCTGGCTCAACACGAGGGTAAGAGGCAATATCAAAACGAAAATAAACGATCAAACGCAAAAAAAGGTATATTATTCATCCCATCATCTTCAATCGCTTTCCAATTTCCAGCCATCCAGTCGTTGGAATTGAAGACGGTGTTCAACAAAAAGAAACCTGTAAGCATTGGTATCCATTGAGTTTGGGTCGGATTGGGTTGCCCCGGGGTCGGTCCAGACATCATTTGTGGCAAGTGATGACGGCAACGACTGTAGATTATCAGAATCTAACCATGTCTTAAACCATTATGAAACAAACAATGAAACGCAAGCAGGACAAGTCAGCAAATAGAATCGTCAAAAACTTTTGGGACTTCCGGTATGGCGGCGACGGGTAAAAACTGGGGTTGCAGCTCGTTTTGTTCCTTTTCTGCGGCTGTGGGGATCTTGGCTGGTTATTTGTTTTTTTCTTTCTTTTCATCCTCTGAATTTCTGGGGGGTGGTAAGGTCATTTCGTCATCCATCATCGAATCGTAAAGGGGACGCTGGCGTTTGCATTTGGTTGGGGTTGAAGGGCTGTTTTCATTTGTTGTTGTCCTCTCTTCCCCTGAACTTAACTGCTGTCTGATATATGAGGGGGATTTGTCGTGGATCTTCCTTTCGGCATGGCGTCGTCAGGTACGTGTTTTTTTTTTGAATTGAATTGAAATTGTATATTAAATTATACTTCATGGGTTTTAACTCTTTGTATCGCTTATGTCTTTTTCTTCGTGTCGTCGTGGTATAAGGGTCATGGATTCGTTCAGTATGGGCATACAGAGTTATCGATCGACTGGGTCCAGAATCTTCTATTGTTTATTTTGTTGGTTCTCCTACTCAACAATGATTTCCACGCCGGGATTGCTCCTTAGCTCATCGCTGCCACGTTGCTGGTGGCTATTCTGGCGACGGAATCCTGGACCTCTCTCCGGAGCAGGGCCTCTAGGTTGTCTCACCGGAACACGTTCCTGGTTTTGGTTTCCAGAATCAAATCCAAGTCCAATGGAGCGGTTAGATCCGATAGCACCAGCACTGGATCCGGAACCATTGTTTGATCCCGCTGTAGTTGTGGGAAGATCAGAAGCATCCCATATACCGCGTGTACGGCGAGGAGAACCGGAGGGTCCAGTGACCGAGGTACCAAGTGATAGGCCGCCCAGACTGTTAACGAGGAGACTGTCATCGACACGCTGAATACCAAGAGATGAACCAGACGGAGTAGGAGTGAGTGTGGGGGTGTTAGAGGCACCACTGGTCCCGGCATCATATGCCTGTTGCTGCTGCTGTTGCTGCTGCTGGAATCGAGCACCGTTAGTTTGCAAGGCAGCTGGGAAGCTAGCAGAAGATGGAACAGGGGATGGAGTAAAAGAACGCAGGTCGGCGAACGACTTAGCAGCACGAAGGTTCTGCGCGTTTGCGTAACCCCCTGGGCCTGGAGAGTCTAGTACGTTCAAGAACGAGGACTGACGCATGCTACTGCCATAAGCTTGCTGTTCATGGCGGGACTCCCCAAAGTCAATGGTAGCCGCACGGGAGAGACCGCGGCGAGCAGCATCGGAAGTGACCGTTGCTGGCATAGCCGGGACAGGAGGGCTGACATTGGCACCGGGGCCAGCGCGGTAGACATGCACCTGACGCTGGTCACCAGTTCCACGGGAAGTGTGAGCAAGACCCATATTATGGGAGATAGTATGCACTATCCGGCGCTGGGCGGGAGTTAAGTTTGTGCCGAAAATGAGAGCTTCTTTGCTCAGGTCCTGTTTGAACAGGAGCAGCTGTGAGTAGTATTGCAACGTCTGCGCGTCGTTCATATCAACCTCTAGAAGTGGATGTTAGTACTAGTGACATATATAAGGATTTTGAAGAAGCTACTTGATGACATACCTAGTTTACCTGCGCGCTGGGAGACGGGCGAGGGAGAAGTGGTTGGTAGGTGTGACGCCAACGAAGACATGGAAGTTTGATGTTGCAACTGGGAGGTAGCCATGGGCCTATGCTGTTCTTCGAGCTGGCCTCTACGCTCTCGCTTCTCTCTCTCGATCCTCTCACGTTCCTGCGCGGGGAGCATTTTCTTATACTCAACTCTCAATTTTCTTCCCTGAAGTTCGAAATGGTTTAGCAATTCAATAACAGTAGCCGTCTCCTCCGCAGAGGTGAAGTTTGCAAAAGCAAGACCTCGGAACACGCCATTATCGAAATGATAGTTGAAGGCATATGGCAACGGTAAATTCATTTCAGTCATCAGCTGTATCAACTGCTCCTTCTTCACAGCAAAAGGAATGTTCTTGATAACAATAGCGGTTGGGATGAGTTCATCTTCCGCGTCGTGAGGGTTCTCCGCGCGAATTTGAGGAGAGGGCTGGTGCTGACCAGGCGCTAGAGAGAACGAATTTGGGAGGCTGTTCTGCTGATCCAACCAGGTCTGCTATAGGTTAGAAAAAAAAATGATAACCATCGCCTCGCTACTCCATGTCACGAAAATACACTTACCGTGGGAAGAGCGGTGCGTGAACGAACATTTCTCATCCTAGAAGTGGCAGTGGCGGAATTAACTGCCAATCCACCCAGACCAACACAGTTTGCATTCCACGTCTGAGAGCCGGATATATCATATGGATACGAGCCACTCGGCATAGTGGCATTCAACCTATCCAACGGATTTGTATCGTAACGGCCAAGCGGAGGCTCCTCGTACAGAGCGGAAGACATGGGCCCGTAGGCGTCAAACTGGCGAGAGGGCTGACGGCGAAGCTGCTGTGGTGGGTGACGGTGGGAGCCAGGAGATCGAGAGGCAGACGAATTGTACATATCCTGGTAACCACTCATGATGGGCAGTGAGCGATGTTTCAGGAGATGGGGAGGATGATAAGAGATGGGACGGATGTATTGGACAGCTGCAAGATCTGGCTAGACCTTGTGGAATAAAGAGACTAAGCTGCAGGTCAGGCAGGGGTGCGAATGAAAACGAAAACAGGCCGACGCGCAGGGCAACGAGGTCTGTCTAAAAGTGTATCAAGCGGGTGGCGGAGGTCATCAGTTCGTCGAAAACGTCAAAGTCGTCAAGACAACGAAGTAGAGGCAGAGAGCAAGCATAAGCTAGCCAGAGAGTTGAGTCGTCTGCATGCGCACTTGTATTTTTTGTTTCCGGGATAAGAAAAAATAAAGAGGCAGCAGTTCCTGGCCGGAAGCGAAAAGATAGCAAAGTTGTACAGCAGGACTGTCTGTCTGATCTCCTTGGACGATATCTTCTTCTCCGCTCCGTATGGGGCTCAGTCAACGAGTGCGAGAGGGATGGAAGGTGTTCGGTGGTAGGAAAATGGCGACTTTTCTCCCGTCTTTCTCCCTTGACTAAAACCAGGTCAACACGGCCAAATAGCGAGTAGGCAGCTGGCCAAAGTACCGAGAAATGCGTCTCTAGGTCAAGACGCGGGGCTGCTCAGGCGGATGGACAAAGCACAACCGGCCGATCGAGCTGGCTGAGGCTGCCTGGTTTACGAGGGCGCAGAGCCGTCAGGAAAGGGTCAGGACTCACACCTCCAGGTTCGACGAGCGAAAAGCGACGAGCCTCGCCGGCGAAAGAGACAGACTCAAAAGGGAGATATATCAAGCACGACAGCAAGCTGCAGCAGTGTTCTGGCAGAAGATGCAGGTGGTGAAGGAGGAGGAGGAGGAAGAAGTGAGAGAGGTGAAGTCGAGGTGGAAGTTGGTGCAGGAAGAAGAGGAAGAAAAAAAAGACGACGAGGTCCTAGGGCGGTCACGACGGCAGTAAAAAAAAAGGTGGTGGTGGTGGTAATACCGTTACGGCAGACTAACAACCACCCACTTGCCCACCAAAAACCACACGGACACAGCAGAGCAAACGACGGCAACGGGAGGGCGATGAGCAGAGAAAGGATGGTGAGTCGACCTCAGCGATGAAGGCAGACGTGCTAATTATGAGTATTACAGCCTCTCTCCCCGCGGTATCGCCCCTTTACAACCCGCTGGAGCCAGCTTCGCTCTGCCCGTATAACTATCCAAACGCTCAGCCGAGATGATTCAGGGCCAGACGCTGTTTGAGACTCGTCCAGGGGTGGCTATGCCACCGTATTCTGGAAGTCTTGATGTCTCCGTATCCGACTCTTCTGTCTCTTCTTTGCCCCTTTTCTCCCTACTTTTTTTTTTTCCTTAGTTCCCCGACAGGAGGAACGGAGGGCTGCTCAACTACTCCGTACACCAATTCCATCCACAGAGACAACCCAAAAAGACAGAAAAAGAAAGCATGCTAGAGACGGGCCTCAACCCAAAATTATGTTGTCGACCAACAACAGATCCCTGAAGGGCGGGTTCAAACGTTAGTTGGCGTATATCGATAGTTCGATGCAGCCGACTGGATAGCTGGAAGAGCAGAAGGCAAAGGAAAAAGGGAGAAAGACGATTTGAAGCTCGCCTCCTCTGTTAATCCTTTTTTTCTCCCTCATGGCAAGTAAGGCCTGTTCGCTTGTTTCATTCGTTTAAGCCTGTCTGCAACGCCCGCCACAGCCACTTGACCATGTCCGTCGGGCCCTGGTGGTGAATGTGACCAGTTCCAAGATGGTCGCCCCGGTGGCACTGGGTGATAGCTACCACTTGTCATTTCTCTCCTTTCATTCCTTCTATATGCATACACTTTTAGCTACACTCCAAGGGAGACCGCTGCTATCAAGACCTGATATTGAGCCCTTCGAAGCTTGAAGCTGCATACCAGCACGGAGTATGGGCGCCTAATGTCTTGCTTTTAATAGCTCCCGCGTCTGTATCATCCAGTCTCTTTGCTAGACATCCATGCTGTGTCTGCTCTCTTCAACTAGGGCGCACCATACAACCAAAAAGAAACTACCAGAAAGCTCTGAGTACTAATAGTGTTAATAGTCCTCTCAAAACACGACGATCACCCTCAAGGCTCGGCCCATGCATACGATCGCGCAATAGTTTAATGCATGAGCCTGGAGACAAGTAGGAGGGTGCTTCATAATTATATATACATGAACAGACTCCTGCCCGCCACGACTCAATATCACAAGCATCACCCATCTCCTCGACCATCTCCATCCATAGTTCTGCGGTGCAACTCAATGTTTGGGAACTTTACCAGGGGAGAACACCGTTCTATTCCATCTCGACCTTGCTAGATCTTGGATATATACGCCACAACCTTGCGTACCAGACTGGTTAGTGACCAGAGCATCGTTCGCATCATGTGCTTATGTGTCGCACAGCATCAGAGAAAAACACGGCGTTCATGGACGCCTATCGATAGGACTACCCGGGTAACTGGGCCATGCAATCCCGACTTCGCATGATTTTTGTTTTGCTTCCCCCAAGCAAATTCGACGTAGTACGACCAAAACAAAAGGAGTGGTTGACCTACCATATTACAAAAAAGAAAATATTACGTGATCTCAAAGGGAAGACGTGGTTGCGTTGCCATGACAATTAAGTGTACCTAGAACTGACAAGGTGCTCGATATTCAGTCCGCTCTACTCTTAAGCTTACAGAGAAGCTATCTAGGTAAGAAGTAAGCTTGAAGGTAGGGTTATTTAATACACATATAAAATATGTAATCAACTCACTTCCGTAAATGATGCTTCAGTACTATAAAGGGTTTGTGTCGTCTGCCTCGGTATTTGATTGGTGATTAATCTAGCTTGCCCCGAAACATCCCACATCTGTGTCCCAATGTGATATGCATGTGAGAATGATCAATAAGTTCAGGTACACATCACTAGATCGGGCTCATAAAACGAGGCTAACGAGAAGCTCCAGCTTTGACTTAATTTTACAAATGGCAGATGGAGCGAGAAGAATGGAGAAGGTATCCAAGGTGCAAGATTTATCATATAATTGTCTCGTCCGATACTTGTGGAGAGTAAGCTCACGAAGTAGAGTCGTCGCTCCCTAGAAGAACAAGAAAGCTGCCAATGAACTCATTCATTCTTCCTCAAGCTTCCGGGGGAAAGGTCCAATGAATTTAACTGGGTATTTTGACAGATCAGCCTTTCCCGGAGAAGTCTCGGGTGATTGAATACGCTCGATAACCAGCTCGCTGACTTCCAGCCAACTATACATGTAAAGCGGTCGTTGAAACACCAAATATGACGCGGTGAAAGATCGCCATGCGTAAATTTGATGCAGCCTTTAAGACGCAGATCATCGAAAGGGCCATAACCTGCATAATCTGTTGAACCAACAGCCCCGGTTTGATTTTGGCTCTAGTGGATGGAGTTCATCCATGTGGCCACGTAGGTGAGTGGGGGGCCTTCTTTTCTTCCATGGATATGGGAATATTCGACATGGGGGGCGCCGGGACATCGTTTCATCATGTGTAGCACGTACCATAAAGCCAGTTAGCTCCTTACGACCGAAGGATTTGCTGTACAGTATTTTTGCAATAAAATCAATTGCATATGCTTCGGCTGGGATATCATACCGTCGGTATTTGACAGTGCAATTAGAATTATGCTCGGCACCTCGAAGCGCCAACCCAGGTATAAAATATCGGGCAAGACTGATAGCTCAAGGGAAAGGTCTGGTCTGGACCAAGAAGCGAGCCGCGACGGCGAAGTGGGAGACGAGATTCCAATGTAGTATAATTTCTTGAATTATATCGGAGCCTAGAAGTATATGAAGGGCCTAAGTCAACTCATTAAGGGAGATTTAACAAGAGTGCCTAGGAATGATTGATGAGGATTTATATCAGGGGCTGCAAAGAAACTCTTGCTTGGAATTAACGAAGCGGCTATTTCACGTGATAGTTACACGCATTTCCAAGGTTCTAATGTGAGCTAATTAGTATCAATTGTCGACGCCGAAGCCTAATGAAAATAAACGTTACAGAGTTGGAACAGAATACATAAAGGGGTGTTTTGCGGTTCTGCTTTCTCCTTTCGAAGTGGAAGAACTTGACTATCTTTCTAGAACGACCGTTGAACACGGGAAGCGAATGGATATCCCGTTTTTTAGGCCGGTTTTGATCCACAAGCGGCGCTTACTTAGTTCGCCGCTTAGCTCAACCTTATCACTACATGCGCTCGTGTCTCCTTTCACCCTTCAGCGATATTTATGCATGCGTGCCTCATTCTATGAGAATCGATTAAACTAGTTCTAGAGGTAGTAGAAGAATTATACTGGGCCATGTTGTCTGCTGTGTTGATCGGAATGCCGTGGCGAGGCGGATTGGCCGTTTCGCCGCCTGAAAAAACATCCCATACCCTTAACCTTAACAGTAAGACATTGATGGCCTGCTGTAGGGAATATCCGTGGAGAAACATGCTACAAAGTGGAAGTGTATTCTTCAGGACAGCTGGCACATCCACCGGATTCGCGGATACATCCGAAGGGCCAGGGATCATGCCTAGGCAAATTCCCTTCAGGCAGTGGGCCAATACCATTTAAAATATAGCACAGGCCTCAGTTTAGCGTATGAGAAAATGGTCTCGTGTACTTGATCGATTTTTCCTAGCCAATCCAAGAGGTATACCATGCGTGTCGCAAGTTGATGAAAGAGTTAAAGGAAGTTTATAAGTTTTACTGTCCCGCAAGCATGAAACAGAAGAGAGGTTGAGACATTCCTTGAGACACGTCTTGAAACGAGTCCTGAAGGCCTTTTGCGGGATAAAGAGGAAGGAGTTAAGCATACAATACCCTTTGATGGACCGCTAGATTTGATAACAATGTTATTCATGACTCTGATATGGAGAGAGGATACCAAGGGTCTGCTCTGATCTCTTGTTGGAATGCTTCTCTGGGGAATAGAACACCACTGAACAATGATTTGTATAGCGCTTATCCATGACTGACTTGTCTTTCCTACGCCGCCAGACTATACCCCCCAAAATGTTAGCTAGAAGCCAGAGAGGCCTATCCTCAAAAAAATAGCTGTATAGCTTAATATCCTGAACCAGTTCTACTAACCACCTCTATTTCTCTCATGAAAGAAGCGAACAACACTTCTTATTGACAGCTTGTCTTCCTTTGCATCTATTAAATATCATCATCCACTGCCTCTGCCACCCTGTATCTGCCACTCTTCCGCTGCTTCTGCTTCCTCTCTCCAGCTTTTTCAGCTTTTCCCCCTATCTCGGATGTGCAATTAAAGTTCGCTGACTCAGCTTCCGAGGCTTGTTCCGAACCAATGAAAACATGCCATTTTGCCAAGCCTTCCAGACGCGAATTTGCCTATCTAACGTAATATCAGTTCTGCGGGAGAAAGACGAAAGCTGACTTGTATCTCTAGCGCATGTCAACAGATCAACTCGCCCTTTGCAGCACCAGTGCAATCGATCTCTTCCCTTCGACGCTCCTGTACTGTCGGTCCTACGCATTTCTCCTCGTCCGACTTCCCTGTGACGTTTCCCCTCTTGCAGCGGCCTGCAGGCGGTGTGTCAGAAGGCTTTGGAGCCTGCATGCGAGTCGAAGAGATAGGACAAGGAGGATTAAAAGTTTTCAGGCCGATATCCTGCATCAAAAAATCGAGGGCGCAGAGTCATTGATGGCAATTTTCGAGTTCTCGAGGTGATCTGTCGAGTTTAACGGTCGAGTCTGACGCTCCCCGCCGAGTTTCCGTCGCATCCAACAACTACGGCCAGGGCAGCGCAATCTACCACATCCATCTTACATATCTACTTTTTTTCATCATATCAGCGATAACGGATCAATTTGCCTTATTTATCATCCCGATACCGACGCATCTTCGTTTCACCTGCCTACCGAGCCTTCCCCCACACCCCCGGTCAATCTTTCCATAAGCC